TGTTCTGTGGGGGTGTAGCTGGGGAGTGTGTGTGGCCCAAGTATTCATGAGCTGGTGGAGGATGGCTTCAGAAGTGGAGTGTCAGAGATGAAAGTGTGGATATTCCTGGTGGAAGCCAGTGAATGTTGGCAGGCAGAACTTCATGATGAAGTTGCCAGAACATTGGTCGGTGGATATGCCTGGGTTGAAGCTGGTTGATGACAGTGGACGAGCTCGCCCCTTAGTTGTTTTCTCTCTCTCTCTCTTGCAGGGCCCAATGTGTCCTCTTCCCCAGGGGGATACGAGGGACCAGAAGGTAGGCGTCCTGCTGGAGCTGAACCAGGCCGTTGTCTCCACTGAGGATACCCGTTTAGCCTCTTTTCCAAAACCAATAAAAGAATTTTAGGAATGGTTTTGAAGTGCTGTCCTGTTTGTCAAGGGCTGTCATGGGATTATCTTCCCCATCCCCTCATTATATCTGGGGTGGGTCTTTCTACGCCTCCTTTCTCCCACAAAATACCCAAGGTGGCTTACATCATTAAAACAGTATTTAAAAGCTAACAATAGCAAGTATACAAGTGTAAGACCCAAACTTTGGGTCAAGAAGTGCTACTAGGAGCGCCGTCCCACCCCAAGGCGAATGTAGGCACTCAGACCGCTCCTCGTCCCTTCCCTCCCAAGCTGATACATCAAGCTGTGGACACCTTTGACTTGGAAGAGGGACTGAAAGGGTTATCAGTGGCGACCCAGACATCCCTGGTTTTGGCGGGAAAGGAGGGGGGGAGGGCAGTAGCTGAGGTGGGAGCTGGTTGGTACTTGGGACGCCATCCCGGGGGGATGGGAATCTGTGTGGATGCAGGACCCATGGACTGGGAAGTGGGAACTGGCCCGTGTGCCTAAGCAAGAGGCGGAAAGCCGTAGAAAGAGGGGCTTGCCTCAGCGCCCATCCTATTGGGGAGAAACGGAGACCCGCGAGTGGCGGAGGAAATTGAAAGAAGAGAAAGCAGCTGTGGAAAGAGAACGTGAGGCGAAAAGGGCATGGCATATGGAGGAGTTGAGAAGGATGGGGTATTGCCTGGGACATCCAGCTTGGTGAAGGGTCCCCATTCTGGGGATGGAGTGGGGATGAGGAGACCACCCTTCTATTGATTCCTGATCCCGAAGACGGGGTACCCCAAGAACCCAATAGGATTCAGGCTGGTCCATGGGCCCCTTTTGGTTGCCCCTGTCGGAGCCGTTGCTCCCTCAGGAGAAGTTTGTTCCCAGTCAGTTTGACATTTCTGTACCTGTCCCTCTGTTAATAAATGAAACTGAGTTTGTTAATTCGAAATCGTCTGTTGATTTATTAGAAATGGGGGAGGTGAAGACAAACGGACACTCACACTAAGCAAATGTATTATGTGTCGTGTTGGGCAGACACAGGAAACCAGTGTGCCCTAGTGCCATTCGGAGAGGGTTGGAGTTGGGTACCTGTCACACACCCTTAGTTCCCCTGTGTTTTTCCACCCAACCCAAGTTCACTTTCAGGTGTGACATTTATTTTTCAACCCTTTCACGCTGCCACCAGGAGCCTCTCCTCACTACATCAAATATGACTCTTAAATCAGTGTTATTCAATAAATCAAAGTTTATTTAAGTGTTCATAAGCAAATCATATAAAGTTAATCATGGATGGTCTTATGTTATTCATTCAATCAACTGTGCTTTAATAACATTTATATTTGCTTATGTATAATCATGTTACTCAAGGTATTTATTCATTTCTTATCTTGTTCCTTATTTCCCTATTCTTCTCTAACACAAGACTGGTCCTAACTGCCTAAACTGCTTGCTTTTCTCCAACTCATATCCCTAACTCATCCCTTACTATAAATGAAATCCTCTCTAACTAACTGCTCTTTAACTGTCATCCATTCTCTTATATACGTATCTCTAGTCCCACCTTTTCAGTACAGCCATTGGCTCCTGAATCAGGGTTCCATTGTGATGGACAGGAGTGGTTACTGACCTGTCCGTCACAGTACCCAAATACAATGGCCACCCCGTAGCAATAAACAAGACTCGCTCGTTCCCTTCCACCACTGCTCCTCATATTTGCTTGCCTGGCCTGGAGATTCAGGGGAGCCCAGCCATTTCCTGGCACAGCAGCTCATTCCCTCTGGCAAGCCTCATCATGATCAACACCATGAGCACTCCATGGACAGCTCCTTGCAGAGTACAAGTGAGAAGAAAATATGCCCCTTCGAAGAAGCTTCCAGTCCATCCTCTCACGCCAGTGCCACAACTGAGGAAATGGAGATGGGCAATGATTTGGAGATGTGCGTAGATTAAAATTCATGTGGATCTATGCCATGGATAGATGGCAAAAATACACTAGTACTGCAAAATCTGCTGCTTGAGGGCAGTGGCTGCCTCTGAGTGCCTCGTGCAGTGATGGTGAACCTTTTTTTGAGCCCGAGTGCCCAAAGTGCAACACAAAATCAACATTTATTTCAAAGTGACAATA